CGGACAGCCAGCGCCCGCCGTCGCCCGCCGGGTTCGCGCGGGAGAGCGGGGAGGAGAAACTTTGCCTCTTATTGTTGTTTTTACTCCTTAAGTGTAAGGAACTCTGTTGGGAGGAAGAATGTCCTTCTTCAATTTCCGTAAGATCTTCAAGTTGGGGAGCGAGAAGAAGAAGAAGCAGTACGAACATGTGAAGAGGGACCTAAACCCCGAGGAGTTTTGGGAAATTATAGGAGAATTGGGCGACGGAGCCTTTGGGAAAGTGTACAAGGTAAGAGGGAGAAACGGGAAGTTGCACTTGTGAGATCAAACAGCCCGTGGCCCGGAGTGGCACGAGGATTTCTCGCTCCCGCGTCCTGTTCCTGTCTCTTGGACCTTCTTCTGACTTCGTAAACGTACGTTGGAACTTTATTTAGGTTATCATCCAAGCAGTAGCTAAGAGGTAGGGTTTAAGGTTGAACAAAATGGGGCTGGATGTAGTTTAAAGAGTGGTTGCCAAACGGAGGCAAGGTTTACCGTCTGTTCTGTTAAACGTTAAAGGAAATGAGGGTGTTCTTTAATTTAAAGGAGGGGTCTGGTTGTGGCCCTCAAGCATTTTCAAATCAGAAACTCATTATACTTTTCAGTGGATTTCTGTTTGTGTACTAGCTGTTTGCATTCGTATGTATACTTACACTAAAGCAGTTCCCTTTTGGGGTCCAGAGTATATATTTGGTTGTATCTATTGCTCATACATAACCAGTCTCTTGGGGATGAGAGCAAAGTGATTGCTACTTGCAGACTATTCTTGGTTGCTTGACAGCATACTGTAAAATGGAGTGGAATTTCTGATAGAAAATTTTCCGAAGAAAACCTGCATCTGGTATTAGTTTCTAAATATAATTATAATAAGCATTGACTAGAAGTCAATTTCAGGGCTTAAGCAATTAAAAAAAACATGCACCTACATATATACACACACACATTTTTACATACAGATGTTCATTTCAGTAGAAAGAGGTTTGCCATTTCAATAGGAAGGCATGGGTTAACTGTTTATTGTCTTGTAAGGAGTATATGAATGATGTCATCGGAATATTTTAGTCCTGAAGGTTGAGGATTTTATGAGACAGTTTAAGGGGAAGGACCCACAGGGTTGCCTAGAAGTGAAAATATAAATAACTTAAGTTTATACAGGACTCTGCAGTTTTTAAAGTACTTTCACATAATTTGGCCCCCATGAGAGTTCTGTGAGATACGCAGGTCAGTAGTATCTACATTTCATAGATGAGGTTCATAGATGAGGACACTGAGACTCAAATTGTTCACATTCACACTAGTCACAGCCTAGATTTGATCTCAAGTCTTCTGACCCCATATTTACTGTTACTTTTTTTGTTTTTTTTTAATGTCTATTGGTAGAAGTGATAGCATTTTTCCTTCTTTCTAAGCATCATCACACTGTCTGCCTTTGCCCTGCCTCTAATGCATCTCAAAGCCCCTCATTCTTAGTCTGAAATATCTACTCTTTTCTGTGTGCTTTCAAAACACAGTATTCACCTTGCTTACTATGGCACTTGTCACATGTTAATGTATTTATGTTTTTATGATAAGACTAGGGGCCAAAATTATATACATTTGGGGTAATTCTGTTGCCTTAGCACATAGTGCATTTCTCTTTATATTTGTGGAAATGAAAGAATGTGTGTTACCTGCTTGTGAGCGCTATTTTAATTTTTTTAATTTTTTTTAAATTTTAACATCTTTATTGGAGTATAATTGCTTTACAATGGTATGTTAGTTTCAGCTTCACAACAAAATGAATCAGTTATATATATACATATGTTCCCATATCTCTTCCCGCTTGCGTCTCCCTCCCTCCCACCCTCCCTATCCCACCCCTGTGAGCGCTATTGAAGCTACTGTGTGCTGTGAAAGTTGACAAAGTAAACTTCAGTGCCTAATGTGGAGGGTAGACTATGGATTTCAACAAGAGCTTACAGTATAGAATGTATGGTAGACAGGGCTTTTAGTGCAGTGGGAAGATCACTCCTGGGAGTTAAGAATTGTGTTTTATTGCTGGTTGTCACAAACCAGCTTCGAGATCTTCGAGAAATTTAATGTCTTTGGACCTCCTTTTTCTGAGGTGGAAAATCGTAGATTTCCCTAAATGTTTAGATTCTTTTACCCATTAATGTTCTGTGAGTATGCAGTTATCTAGGAAAGGCAAAAATAAATCCTCAAGGCATCTGGCATCTGGTAGTTAGAAGGCAGTAGGTGATTATGGGCAGTCATGGTATAAATGTTTTATTGAACAGAAACAGTGTAATATTAAGACACTGGCTCCAGAGTTGGACTATATCTTGGCTCCCTCAATAGCAGCCTGTGACCTTGGACAAGTTACTTAATCGTTCCATGTCTCATTTTTCTCATCAGTAAGACCTGCTCCTCAGTGTGTGAGAATTAAAGGAGATAAAAAATGTAAGACACAAAAAAGGGCTCAGAAAGTGGCAGAAAATTACTGTTGTTACATTTACAGCTCGGAAACAAAATATGGGATGGGACAGGAAAAGGGACCTACGAAGATAGTAAAACATTTTCTGGCACAGGCAGATTGTGTGGACATGCTGATGCTATGTGATTTAATTCTTTAATGACTCCACAAAGTGAATGTATCTTCCTGTAGTGGGACACCAATTGAAAAATTTTTGAAAAACAAGAGACTTACTCCATGTAGTTGAACACGATAAGATTGTGTCAAGGATAATTTTTGTGGGCTTGATATCTATTTTAGTGTGATACTTGAAGAGTGTGAGTTCTTTGCATCTTTTCTTTTCATCTTTTATTTTTTTATGCTTTCAAGGAGTAAGCTCTGAGATTTTTTTAAAAAGAAGATTTAAAATTTAAACTTATCTGACCTGTTCTGCCTTTTTTGTAACCTTTTTTATTGTACAAGATTCTCTAGAAATTTTAAATTTATAAACTTCTGTGTAAGAGAAAAAGCTTTGATAGCTTTTTTTACAATTGTATGTATTAGTATGTAATAGAAAACTGTTTCTAAAGTTGATTCCAACTGTCATTTGCTTATGGAAATTAGTAACTGTTACGAAGGTTAAATTTCTAAATAGGCAGTCATTTTTCCATCATATTGTTGTATGCTTTCCACTCAGTCCTTACTTTCTTACCTGAAAGATCTTCCCAATTTTAAATTTATTTTCTCTTTTTAATAGTATTATTTGACACATAAATGAAGATATGTAGTATCCCTCACAATTTTTTATGTTTGGATTTCTGTTGCCTTTAACAGAAAAAAAAAAAAAAGGAATGACATGAAATGATCTATTGAATTGAAGCTGAACTACTGACTGTGTGCTGGATGAAAGTGATTCTTTTTATGTCCCTGATGGGCATGCACCTTTTTTTTTTTTTCTTTTTTTGCTGTATGCAGGCCTCTCACTGTTGTGGCCTCTCCCGTTGCGGAGCACAGGCTCCGGACGCGCAGGCTCAGCGGAGCGG